AGGGTGTAGGAAGCACGGAAAATGAGGGCCTTTGTGCGGCCTGGAGGCTTCTGGGGGAGCAGGGTTTCGCGTTGAAGGGATCGGTCTTCATAAAACCGTCCTGCAGACTGGCCCATGTGGATGTAATTAATACCCTGCCCTCGAGCAGGTAGCAGCCTCTCGGGCTTGGCCCTCGATGGGAAGAGCCCTCCCTCCTCCCTCCACCCGCGTTCATCTCCTGCGCGAGGCCCTCCCGCCCTTCCTCCCGCCTCTCCTGGTGAGATGAGGAATGTGGACTTTACTGAACCATAAAGTATGGCGGGGGAGCCGGGGAGGGGGCCGAAGACAGAGCAATTAGTTCATGCTCCAGTCCAGACACCCAAGCATGGTTGGAGTCCAGCTGCAAGGAATATTTGAAATAAATGAGCTGCCCGGGGCCAGGCGTTTGCTGTGTTTTCTGTACGGGGCCATGGCAACCGGGGAGGAAATCATGAGCTAGGGCCTGGGCTCTAGAATCAACAAATGATGTCCTGGCCGAGCGAGCCCAGAGGAAGCCGCTCACGGCCCTCCCGGGGCTTCTCGGGGCTCAGCTGCTGGCTGGCGGCACTGGCCTGACCGTCCTCCCGGTGTCCTCAGCAGAATCCTGTTCCAGCTTTGGACCTCTGTGTCCTCGGCAGGGCTCTGGTTTTTTTCCTTTTCTGCTATTTTTCTTTTCTTTTTTTAAAGCGAGCTAACACGTCTCCAAACCTTTCTTCCTGGGCCGGAGAAGCAGCTGCTGCCGTTGCCTGTCTGATGATTTTCCTGGGCACAGGAGTGTCCCCGGTGAAAATGCCTAGACAGGGCAACTAGCTAAATGGAAGGTGGCAGTGACCCTGCCCCGGGTCTGCCTGCCCACCCAGCCCAGCTGCACCCTCTTCCTGGTCTATGTTACAGGCAGGAACTCAAAGGCCACGCTTGTCCCTTCCCTAGCTCTTCTGAGGGTGACCCTTACAGCTGTCCCTAAGAAGGTATCTTAGAGAAGCACATGAGTAACAGGACCAAGTTTGGGGGCTTTAACTTGAACTTCACAAGTACCTCCTGCATCTGAATCACTAGGGACCTTGGGGGAAAAACAAAATCCCAGAAAATTTGATGCAGTGGTGGGGCCTGAAAATCTGCATTGTAAAATACCCGTGGCTGATTCTGACACTTTGCCCCCAGGGGGTCCCGGCGCCCCAGAATTATATGCAGAGTTGTACCCATGCAGACCCCCTGCAGGTCCCCATGTTCTTCAGAGGCCTGCAGGGGGCTGTGGCCGGAGAAGATTAGAGACCACGGGCATGGCAGTCAGCTCTATCCATGCTGGGTTTCAGAGCATATGCAAAGGCCCGGAGAGCTGGGGCTGCAGTGCCCGCATCTCCCCAGGCACCCAAGTGCTCGTCTTAGACTTAGAGGGATGAACGACGTGAATTTAAGGAGGATACTGGAAAGCTTCATGCCAGGTCCCCCTCCTTACTACCTTTACTGCCCTCTGGATGGAAACCGAAGAGCCGTGTGGCTTTTCCCAGTCTCTGACCCCCAGTTTCCACATTGTGTTAGTTTCCTGTGGCTGCCGCAATAAATTATCACACACTGGGTGGCTTAATACAACACTCATTTAAATTCTTACAGTCCTGGAGGCCAGAATCCAAACTCAAGGTGCGGACAGAGCCATGCTCCCTCCGGAGGCTCTGAGGGAGAGCCCTTCCTGCCTCTTCCAGCCTCTGGTGGCTCCTCGGCTTGTGTCCACATCACTCCAACCTCTGCCTCATGGCCTTCTCCCCCCTGTGCCTCTCTGTCTGTCTTAGAAGGACCATTTGTCACTGGATTAGGGACCCCTTGGGTTACCCAGGATGAAGTCATCTCAAGATCCTTAACTCGGTGGCATCAGCTAAGACCCTCTTCCAAATAAGGTCACGTTCACAGGTTCAGGGTTAGCACATAGATGTATCTCCCTGAGGACCACCACTCAACACTCTATACACCTTTAGAACTAGGGTCAAAACAGCACCCACGCGCGGCTGGGCGTGGCTCAGTGGTTCAACGTCGACCTAGGATCCAGGCGATCGGGGTTAGATTCCCGGTCAGGGCACATGCCCGGGTTACGGGTTCCATCCCCAGTCGGGGGCGTGCAGGAGGCAGCCGATCAATGACTCTCTCATCATTGATGTTTCTCTCTCTCTCTCTCTCTCTCTCTCCTTTCCTCTCTCTGAAGTCAATAAAGGTATATTTAAAAAACAAAACAAAAAAAACACAGCACCCACTCCTAGGATGACCATGAGGATTTATGAAACAATGAGGGTGGGAAACAGCCCAGTGCCAGGCCTGCTGGGGCTGCTGCCAAAAAGGCAAGTCCTCCCATCATCACCTCCCTACTGCCCCGGCCCCGACAGCCAGGCCCTCGAGAGCAGATCTGCTGTAGAATCGATGGCCATTCTTCTACGGGGTGGGTGCCCAGGCTGTGCCCAATCCACAGGGCCAGGCTTAGGCCAGGATGTGGAGAGAACTTGAAACTTGTCAGAGGGCTATGTCTCTCTCTCTCTCTCTATCTCTCTCTCTATCTCCATCTCTCTCTGATGTCCCTCTGACCAGCTACAGTGAGTGGGTCCCGCGGTCTGGGAAGACGCAGGCATTGCTCGGGATTCATCAGAAACAGAGGCCAGCCAGGGACAGGATGCCCGGCGTGCCAAGTTCCCCGTGGGGGCTCCATGCCCGTCTCCCTCCATCTTTCT